ACACACACACACACACACACACACACACACACACACACACACACACGCGTATGTCATTGCATGTCTTGGCAGTAAGGAAAAAAGTTTTTTTTCTACAAAATCAAAGTTCCATCCGTTGATGAATTTGGAGTTTTAGTCTGCAGGGTAATACTGTTTTTTTATTTTATGTTTTAATTCTTGTGAATGTAGTCTGAAGAACACTTTGCAGTGTGACTCTGTCTGCTGGGAGAGTTTGAGGGCCAGTGTTGTGGCTCAGAAGTAAAGCGTCCGTTTCTCGGTTTAATGAAGRCGAGACCTTGTGTTCCCTCCGAGGTGTTCCCAGGTCTAATTGAGGACAGGAAACCGTTGCTGCTCCAGACAGACTCTCTTCAAATTAATGGCCGGCTGCTTTCAAGAAAATGCATCGAGGTTATCTCAGATCTTTTTTTTTTTTTTTGGTTGTAAACATCAATACTCGTGGCATGTCTTGCATATCTAACCCTCAGAGGCTTAAATTGGTAAACAACATAACCTAGAAAGAAAAAAACAGAATAGGAGCTCGTTACGGGAAGAGAGAGAGCTTCCTTGAATTTCAATGAAGTGGTAACAACATGGTTTGAATTTTAGTCATTATTATCCGTTAATGAAATTATATTTTTATTTTAGAACATTATTATCGGTCTAAATGAGTATTACAACGAACCTCCTGTATGATTTAAAGAAATGTTTGTCCTGTGTTTGTGTTATTTTTTCACATTGTGACTGTTTGCTGCCTCCACAGCTCAGCCAGCTGCGTGGGCGGGACAAGAACTTCACCTTGCTCCATGCCCTTGTGGAGCAGATCATGTTGCACCAACCGGGCCTGGCCGTTTTTACCGAGGAGCTGGCAGAATTTGAAACTGTCCCTGGAGGTATGGGCCCGTCAAGATTTGATTTGATCAAAATAAATCAACCTGTGAGGTAGCTCTTAGTGGAAGTCTGTTAAGACGAAGCAGCACCATCAGTGAGCGTCACCTCTTTTTCTTTTTTTCTTCCTGAAAGCCTCCATCAAAGGTCTGACCGCAGAAGTGGATGGTGAGTAGATCACATTTTACTACTCTGTCACTTTGCTGACGAGCTGATCCATCAGAGGCTTTTCTGTCATTTTACTGTCTTTACTGAAAGACCGGGTTCAAGTCCAGGACCGGGTCTGTATGATGGTGTGTTTGTTCCAACAGTGCTGAAGAACGAACTGCAGAAAGTCGTTCAACACGGAAAAACCTTCAAGAAAAAAAACATCGCAGCTCATCACCCCAACTTCTCCAAAGACCTGAAGGTGAAGAAGATTTGTGTRTTTATGTTTAAAGATGTTCTGCAGACAAACATTCACTACGTTAACYAGTGTCTGTCATATGTGGTGCCGTTTGTAAAGTTACACAGTCAAAAATTACCACCAATATTTTTGTTTTATTTAGACTTTTATAAGAAAAAA